CTCTGTTTCCTACCCCTGCAATCCCTCACACCAAGCTCTTCTCACTGCCACCTCTGGCCTCCTGAAGAGACCAGGTGCACCTCAAAAGCAGTAGGGGGAAGAAGACTTTGAAAGCCAGCTGGGGAGAGCAGTGGGGATGATAGGGGTAGGCACAGAGGTGGTATTCAGCAGGTTCTGACCAGTTCTGGGGAACTGGTAGAGGAAATTTTGAGTAGTTCAGAGAACCAGCATATACCACTCCCTGCCACGCCCACCAAGCCAGGCCCACAGAACCGGTAGTAAAAAAAAATGAATCCCACCACTGGGTAGGCAGCAGAGGTGGAGTACAGGAGAAAAAGATGTTCAGAACTGAAGCAGCAGCAAATGTGGCAGGTGTGTGGAGGTCAGTCATCACCTAACAATAGTGTGGTCCTTGCCCAACAACCACAATCAGGCCTACCAAAACAGCCACTGCTGGGTGGCATAGTCATGTGATGTTCTGCCTAACAACCACTTTGCTTAACAATGGAAATGCATGTCCCCATTGGGTCTGATAAGCAAGGACTACCTATATCACGGGGTCTTGGCAATTTTAAGACTTGTGGACTTCAATTCCACAAGTGCTGGCTGGGAAATTCTGGGAATGGAAGTCCCCAAGTCTTACAGTTGCCAAGTTTGGAGATCCCTGGCCTATATAAACAAATTACTTACTCTTTTTGTTACATATACAGATGGCTACTATCAACCTGCCATTATTGTATAGTGGGAGAAAAGAGGAAACAAGGCCAGGTTCATGTTAGACTAAAATCAGGCTTCATAAAATATTCTAGTAATATTCTTATAGTTCTATACCACCTCCATCTTAGGTGGTTGGGTGGTTTAGCATCAAAAAATGTGCTTCCAAACTGAGATCAAGGCAAAAAATCCTCAGGGTGGCCAGGTGTGAACCTACTGCACTGATATTCTTAATTTTGAGGTAAACTTGCCTTGCACGATATTGGATTTTTCCCGACGGCTCTGCTGAAATCCATGAGAGACTCAAAAGTCTTCTGGCTCGTCATCGGCGTCTTGATAACCTAGCAGCAAAGACATTATCAAAGTGAAGAGACTTTCCACAATCTCAAAAGAAATTTCATACTGCATCATGGTATAGGAGCGAGATTTAACCAAATCAGACTTCATTTCTTTAAATCTCAAGTTCAGATAGTCCTCGACTTACAACAGTTCATTCACTAGTTATGCAACCCCCGAGCTACATAATAAAAATGGAAGTTAGTAATAGGGTAACAAAATAAAAGATGGCATGTTAAAAGAGATAAGTAAAGATGATGACTAACATGTTGAATATCACTATGTTAACATTGTATAATCAATAGGTGGACATTACTATGTTAAAAATTGCAGAATTAATATGCAACGAAGGATGTTGTAACTTTGACTACTGTTTAACAAAGATATTTGTACCCAGACCACACACTGTTCAACTGAAGATGGAATGATTGCATTAAAAATAAAAAAAATATTGCAAAAAAACCCCACCCCAGTCCATTTAGTGATTGTTCAAAGTTACATCGGCACTGATAAAGTGACTTAGGACCATTTTTCACACTTATGACCTTTATAGCATCCCCATGACAATGTGATCAAAATTGAGATCCTCGAGAACAGACTCTTACTTATGACTGTTGCTGTCTCCCAAGGTGATCCCCTTGACAAGCAAAATCACTGGGGAAGCCACATTCCCTTAGCAACCAGGTTACTTATCAACTTATCAACTGTGGTGATTTGCTTAACAACTGTGACAATGTCATAAAATACGGCAAAACTCACTTAATGTCTCACTTAACAACAGAAATGTTGGACTCAATCATGGTCATTAAGTCAGGGACCACCTGTAGTTTTATGACAAGGAACTTCTTTTTCACCACTTCTCTGACGTTTGTTAAGTGAGTTTGCCCCATTTTACGATTTTTCTTGCCACAGTTGTTAAGTGAATTATTGCATTTGTAATGTTAGTAGCACAGTTATTAAATGAACCTGGCTTCCCCATTGACTTTGCTTGTCAGAAGGTCGCAAAAACTTATCACATGACCTCAGGACACTGCAGTCATAGAAATATGAGCCAATTGCCAAGTATCTGAATTCTGACCATGAAAAAGGGTCATAGGTCACTTTTTTCAATGCCGTTGAATTTAGTGAATGGTCACTAAATGAACTGTTGTAAGTCAAGGATTACCTGTAGTCTTGAATATGTATTCAATATCAATATTCAATATCCAAAGCAGGGGTGTCAAACTCGCAGTGTCATATCATCACGTGACGTATCGTGACTTTTTCCCCTTCGCTAAAACAGGGGTAGGTGTGACCAGCACATGATGCATCCAGCCCACAGGCTGCGAGTTTGACACCCCAGCTCCATAGATTCAAGGCACTCAATGCCTGAAGTCCTTTTTTCGCTCGTTGCTATATTTCTCTTTGGTATCTGCTTGGACATTGTTGGGACAGAATCTTAAACCAAATGGCCATTTTATCCTCTCCACACGATAAATTTTACTTATATATTTATTTCCATTATTAATTTGCATCCCAGATTTATTATGCTCATAAATAACTCAATTAACATTTAAATAGCAGCATGCATTGAACACGGCACAAGATTCATTTTAGAACACTCTTAAGATTCCTTACCTCTACAAGCTTCATGAGAGGTACCGGATTAAAAAAATGTAAACCACCAAACTGATCTTGCCGAGTGGTAGCATTAGCTAAGGTCGTGATTGACAAAGATGAAGTGTTGCTAGCAAATATTGTATGCCTGGGGAGAAAATAACATTCACCTTATGTTAGTTGCAGCTCTTCTTTCTACAAACATCTAACAATGTTTTACTTTTAATTTAATATAATAATTTACTTTTAATTCAACAAGATTGGAAAAATGAAGAAACATCGCGAGACGAAGCGATAAATAGGAAGATACTAGATTGTGCTGAAATGGACAGACGTACGCTAACTATTAACACAAATAGAAGACACAGAATATTATCAAACAGGGACTTTATTTGACCAGTGGTTGGAAAAAAGAGGGGGAGATTAAGAATGTAACCTGTATTGTTAAGCAATTAAATAACCCAGATGACACGATGTATTAACAAAATGTAAACAATAGGAAATCAATAAAACATTTAAAAATACTTTTAATTCAAAATGTTGTTCCCCAAATAATTAATCATTTATCATTGCGTTTCTACCTCTAAAATTTGGATAGAAAGAGATGGATCTTCCTGGAGAAAAGCTACTTGGTTCTTTCAATAGTTAAATTAAAATAATGAAGAGTATACATACAAGTTGATTTGGAGCAAATTTGGAGCTTCCCTAGCAGTAAACAATTAAATTAGAAGGAAATGAAACTTAGGGTGTGCAAATAGTGGTCATTTCCTATTGATAATGGACACTAGCAATTGAACCAAGTAATACTGTGTAAAGTAAAATATAAAAATATTCAAGTACCAATTAATGGCCGGAGGGGAAATAAAGGGAAGCAAGAAAAAAAGGGACTGCTAGTTTGCACTTTTGAAATTTTTATTTTGTTTTTTTTTAATTGGTTTTCAAAATATTATATCTATGTATATATTTCTTTTTTGTTTTTGGATTTTTTTTGCTTGTTTCCCCCCCATAAATTAAAATAGGGGAGGTTTTAAAAAAATCAATAGTTTAATTACATCCTTTTTAAGATTATTACTATTATTATATTATAAATCCTACCTTTTCCCCCTAATATTTTAGAAATTACCTCACTGCACTTTATATAGATGAACAAGCAATCAATTCAGATAGTCCCTGACTCATTCATTTCATGATAGTTTTAAATTATTACAGTCTCAGAAAAAGTAACTTATGACCTGTGCTTGAACTTATATTCATTGCACTACCCCCAGGGTTACATGATTAAAATCTGGGTCCTTAAAAACTGGCTCTTATTCATGACAATTGCTGCATCTTGTAATTGGATGATCATGATTTGTAGTCTTCCCAGCCAACTTCTGACAAGCAGTCAATTGAGGAAAATGGATTTGCTTATCAATTGTGTGATTCACTTAAAAAGCACATGATTTGCTTAATGGTCATGGTAAAAACTGTCATAAAATTGAATCTGATCGTTTGATGACTCACTTAATGACAGATTCCAATTGTAATCATAAGTCTAGGACTACCTGTAAATTCTTTATTTACATTTTTGTTTCATTTCTATAAGAAGCTATTACATATATTAACTCAAAATTGAGATTCAATATTTTCAGACGTTTATAGTCTATCTCAGTTACATGGGAGTTGACATATGCACAAAGAAAATGGATTTACAGTTAAAAGATAGATGGTTCTGCATCAGATACACAAACACATGGTTCCAGATTTAAATCTGTAATCTGTAATGGTCTATAGGATTACAATACTATAGGCCAATCATAAATGACTGCAATGAAACATGGTCCCCATTTAGAGATAAAGGCATGTCTGTAAACATTCCTTTTGTATGTTTATATTTGCTTTAGCTTCCGTTTCCCTCTTGTATAATTTTATGTATTTTTTAATTTTTATATTTAATTGAGAGAGAGGGAGAAGGAGGGAGAGAAAGAGACAGCGAAAGAGAGAGAGAGTGAGAGGAGACAGAATGCTCAGTAGCAAAATAATTATTGAAAAATCCATATTCTTGTACTCATAAGAACGTTAGCTACAGGCAATTTGCATTCTCTTCTGCATTTCCTACATTCACTAACTGCCCTCTAACTTCATTTCATTTCCCTCTGATCTTTCCTTTTACAGTTTTTGGTTCCTTCCTTCTAAGAACGGATGCACATGAACATACGCTGGTGGTGTACGCAACGGAAAAAATAATGAATACATTCCCAAAGTTTAGTGATGATAATTTTATAAAAGCTACAAATGTACAAACTTACTGCACAGACTGTGATGAGGTGCTTTAATAATATTTTAAGAAAATCTCAGTGACCGAGAGTTCTTAGATTAACACAGTTGGAAGGGATCTTGCAGGTCATCTAGTCCAACCCCCTGCCCAAGCAGGAGACCTACAGCATTTCTGACAAATGGCAGTCCAATCTCTTCTTGAAAGCCTCCAGTGATGTAGCTCCCAGAACTTTCGAGGGCAAGCTGTTCCATTGGTTGGTTGTTCTCATTGTCAGAAAATTTCTCCTTATTTCCAGGTTGAATTTCTACTTGCTCAGTTTACATACATTATTCCTTGTCTGGCCTTTGGCTGCTTTAGAAGATAGCTTGACCCCTTCCTCTCTGTGGCAGCCCCTTAAATATTGGAAGACTGCTATCATGTCTCCGCTGGTCCTTCTCTTCACTAGACTAGCCATGCCCAGTTCTAGTCCACTCGTAGACATAGAAACCACTAAGGTGAATTCAAGCCAGTCACTCTCTCTAGCTCAACCGACCCCTCACATATGTTTATGAAAGCAAATGTAGAAGGGAACATTATGTACCCACTTTGAGTAGTGAAAAATAAAAGCAGGGTAAAAAATAAACAGGTAGACAACCTCAAATAGTCAAGCCTTCCTTTCCTAATAAACAATCCACATGGCATTCTCTTTTAGAAATCAAATATTTTAGCATATATAACCAGTTAGATATCCTTTAAAATTGAAGTATTCCCCAAAAGAATAAAACTATTACTGTATTTGTAGCATCATCTGACACAAAAGGAACCAAAAGGGGGGGAAATGCTTACATCATTGTCCATTTCAAGCTCAGCAAGAATCTAATCTCTCTGATAAGTCAAGTTTATAATAAACTCAAAGAGTAATCATTAAAATATGAACATACTAGCAACTCAAGGCTAAAAGAAAGGAAAAATGCATAAACTCAACCTCTAGATTCCATGATTACTAGAAAAGATTTATGCACTATTTCATCATCCGATGCATGTAACAGGAATTTAAAATAAAGTGGTACAATGAACAGCCACTAAAAGTCGCACTGCCTTATCAAAGATGCTGCTAAAGTTTAAATTTAATATGACAGGATGTGACCATTATTAAACATACATAAAGTAATCTTAGTCATTGTATTTTGATTGTATTTTAGTTTTTATAGTTCTTGTCCTGGGTCCACCCTCTTTCTCCTGACTCTCCAACTTTTGGGAATGCAATTCCCAAGATCCCATTGAATCATCATCATCATCATCATCATCATCATAACCCCTTGCAGGGTGGAGTCTGGGCAACTGAATGGAGCTACCAGAGTGTTCTAATGGCTAGATGCCTTTCCTGTTGCCAGGGGGGAGTTTGGTTCAGCAGATATATTCCCAGTGTGCCCAGAGAGAGAAATATCTGCCTCTACCTAGGATCGAAGACACAGTCTCCTGATTGTGGGGGCGAGAGCTCCACCTCTTGGCCCGCACCACTCCCCCAGATCCCACTGAATGGCTAGCCTTAAATATTACACTTCCCTGATGAAGTGTACAGACTAATTATTTTCCTGCTTTTCAAAAGATTTGCACAAGAATATAACCATTCTTGTTCTCTGAAGGTAAGCTTAAAATCAGACACCTGGAACTGGGAAGTAAACTGCAGCATGAGGCTTTGCAATATGCTATTTATATTTAAAAATGAATTTTTTTTTGATATAGTTCGCTTCTTTAGGATTCCTGATTGATAAGTTTTCTTTCAAGATACACCATTCCATCTCTAGCCCAATTTTGGCCTTTTTCTATGTTCCTCCAAATTCTGTGCTTCAATCCTAACTCAGTTATTTTAGATTCTTATCACTCTTTGATCACCTGCCTTATTATTTTTTTTAACACATCTTACAATTTTTTTCTACACTTTGCAGAATGTGGCTGTCAAAATTCAACCTACTCTGCTATCAGTTGTTTCAGTTTGCTATTAAAAGGAACGATATGGATATAATGATCTATGAAAAATATAAGCATCAAACAAGCTTGTACTCTATTCATTCCATCATCAACCCTTAAAATCTATTTAGTTGATTATTTTATCAATTATATTTTGATAAAATTGCTCAATTTTGAACAGTAATTCCTCTGAAACAGCAATGATTACCTTTTTTTGAAAGAAAAAGGAGATAGGACTTTGCCTAAATAATTTACCAGAATGATTCTTCGGTGTAGGAATATCTTTTTAATCTTTGATCACAAGTGGAGAATTACACCACTTCCTTTCTTTCTGAAGTTAGTATTTTCACTCAGACCTCTCCTACAGAGTAGAGAATATCTTAAAATAATAAGAACCGTCAGTATGAAAGTAAGATGAATTATCAGCTTCTGGTGAGCAAAATATTATTTGGAATGCTTTATTTGGCATGAAGAGCCTTGGTGGAGCAGTGGTTAGAGTGCAGTACTGCAAGCTACTCCTGCAATTTGGCAGATCGAATCCTACCAGGCTCAAGGTTGACTCAGCCTTCCATTCTTCTGAGGTGGGTAAAATGAGTGGGTAAAATGAGCACAACTACTATAATGTGGGAAAATACCCGAGCAAAGCCGAATGCCATACATACATACATACATACGTATACGTATACATACATACATACATACATACATACATACATATATATATATAGTATTAGTTTATCGAAATATAAAATATAAAGGCAAACAAAAATAATGAAAAAGAAAGTGAAAACAGAAGGAAGAGAGAAAAGTATAGGGGAAAAGGAAAAAAGAAAGACAAGCATTGACTTCTGACTCTTTTTAACACATACAATAATTATAATAACATACAACCTCTATTTTTCACTTTTACATAGTAATATGTACTAGCGATTTCTATAACAATAAATCTCTCTAATCAGCAAAACCGAAAATCAAAGTTTCATTTTTTTTCACCTCAAGAACAGATCCTGAAGCAGTTTCCAGGTATTAACAAAATTGGTTGTAATATTTTCTTTAACGAAAGCATCTAGCAAAGCTGCTTTTCCTTTGAAATAAATAAATGTTCATTCTCCCCATTTCTCTTAAAACAGTTAATATTTTCAACAGATTATTTATGCATCTGGTCAAAAGTTTATTTGGGTTGTGAACAGGAGGGGGTAAATCTGAACATCAACCCTGTATTTAAACTTCTGTTCTTAGACTAATCATCAAAATAATCAGAAGGTACAGTACTGCAAATTAATATTTCATCTTTCTAGTTGGTAATGACTTTTTGTATTTATCTTGTCTATAACAATTTTAAAAACATACTCCGCCGCAAACTTATCCAGTGTCTTGAAGAGCTCAATTTTGGGGGCTAAGTGTTCCAAAATGGCCTCCACTACAAGGTCAGTGCTGTGGACCACAGAGACCGGATCCGTATTCACAGTTATATTCTTTAAGGCCTTCTCAACAAATTCTACACCAGCCTGCAAAAGTTGGAAAAGCAATAAAATCTGTTTACTGGGTGTTACATTTGTCTGCATAAACAGAAGCTTACTTCAACTTTAACATGGTTTATTTGAGCTTTATTTATTTGCCAAATTTATCAGAGTGAATTTGATTTAAATCAATTAAATTATGATTTAAATCACTAGTAAAAAGGCTTGATTTAAATCAACTTGATTTAAATCATAACTTTTAAAGAGCTACTGTCATCTCTGTCCCACAGCAGCACCTCCTCTGATCCGCTGTTGACTCACCAACAGTCCCAATATTGCAGAACATAAAGCCTCATGCTGCATAACTAAGCTCAATTTCATGCTGAATAAACTAAATTATTAATGCATCTTAAATAGAAAACTGTTTTTAGATTTTTACTCCAAAAGCATTTTATTAAAAGAAATTTAATAAAAAAATTAAAAGTCTGATTTAATTCAAAAAAATCTATTTTTTAAAAAAATAATTGATTTTTATCCACCCTGAAATTTATATAGCTACCCATTTCACAAATGTAACAATAAAGCCAATAATTAAAAAATCTTAAATAACAATCAAAGCATGTAATAGAGTGTGATTTTATAAAACATTAGGAATCTGTTTGTGCACACTGAACTGATACAGGAAACTAACACATTATTGTTTGTCCTTCAAGTAACAAAATGCATTAGAGAAAACGAAATCACTGGCAGCTTTATGTCCTCCCCTCCCCCCAAATAAATGATGAAATTCCACCTCTGGGGCTTCACACAATTTTCCATGTGCAGCTGTTCTGATTCCCTCCCTGTTTGGCAGCACATGTTCCAACTGTCAGCACTGATATCTATCACTATGGCAGAACTTCAAAGATACAATCACCAACACACCTGAATCTGAGCTTTTCACTCTATACAATCGGGACATTTGCACCATCTCTTTCAAAAAATATTAATGCATAAAGCAGGTGCCTCTTGCCTCAACTTTTGGCTTCAGACACTAAAGGCAACAAGCTTTGAAGGCAACATGCCTGAAGCAAAAGGTGGCTGCTACTGAAATGCTCAAACTTACAAAGCAATGAGAGCAGCCTGATGCACTTTAAAAGCAAGTATTCTGTGCGTTGGAGCAGAAAATCACTGACAGGTCCAAAAAGAAGCAGTATGGTTGTTCTACTTCAGTAGGTTTGGCTTCAAAGGGGAGATTAGAGGCTACAAATGCATATGCAACAAGTAACCTGCAGAAGCACTTTTTGAGAACTTTTTAGAATGGTTATTTATGTTGGATTTTTTTTTTAAGTTTTAAAAAAATCAGTACCTGTTTGGTTTTAGTTTAGCTTTCCTCATGTCTCCAACATTTTATTTCTGCATAGCAGCCTTCCTTAATCTTGTGATCTCCCAATATAGTTGAGGCTCCTTTATTTTATATTAGGGAAAGTTGGCCTGAACATGAAAAAGAACACTACCCTTGTCAATATTTATAAAAAGTCACCTCAGGTTTCTCTGCAAACTTTTTCTTTGATAGTTTCTTCAGACTATCCTCAATTTGTTTCTTGGACTTATTTAATATTTCATCTGACTGGTCCACTAATACCACCGTGTGGTCAGTTGCAGCAGCAACCTGTAAAAAAGATAGGAAAGGGAGAGGAAAAAGAGAATTTAATCCATTTCCTACAAAAATGTGATGGACTCTAAGGTGAACATCAGGAGTAAGTGGAAATTTAAGCATGGTGCTGCACAAAAATGAAATCATTTTACCGTATGTCTCAAATATCATCCAAGCAAGCTTCCTGAACAAGCAAAGGACCCAGCTCCATAAAAAGAGACTCCATTATCTTTTGATTGGCCTTCTGTTTTCAGAAGCACCTTTGAATACAGTTTTTAGGCTCCTCCTAACATTTGTAGAGACTAAAGTGTGAATCCATCCTGGAGAACTTAATTCAAAATCTAATAATAATAAATCAAATTCAAATTAACCAAACTTCTGTCCACTCTTCCCAAATACTAAAACTTAAGTAAAAGCAGAAACTTCTATGCTAACCAGGGGGGAAATAACAAAGCAAAATAGGAGGATAAATTCCAGATCAAAGCAATATATTTATCAGATATACACAAAATATTGGCAATTTTTGATAAACATTTACAATTTCAAGGATTCCATTCACCTCCCAACCTCCATGTGTTAGTTTTTAATGCCTTTTAAAATGCCAGCAGAGAATAATAGAATAACAGAGTTGGAAGGAACCTTGGAGGTCTTCTAGCCCAACCCCTGCTCAATTAGGAAATCCTGTATCATTTCAGACAAACGGTTGTCCAAGCAAATCTGATAGCCACTGGGTAGGCCCTGCAACAGGAAAGGGCAGCTTCTTTGGTCCTAGTATATGACATTCCATACAGGGACAGGACCTGGAATATCAATCTCTACTTGTCCTATTTAGGATATTACTTCATAACGGTTTGTTTTTAAGAAATTAGATGAACACCATCATCTTCATAATTCCATAGTACTGTTAGTCTCAATGGAGGGAAAATAATTAAAGCCAGCTGTCCAGAAAATGGCAATTACAGTACTGTATCTTACTTATACTGTGATTTTGGTACAAGCAAAACACAAGAGACGGGAAGGGAACATCAAGCCTTCCTTGGTTCGGACAGATGGTATAATTGCAAAAAGAAAAGAAAACACCTTACTCAATTTGTTTCTGGAATGACCACACTACTATTTTGCAATCAGCCAAAAAAGACGAAACATTGTTTTTTCTCTAAAAGCCTTAAATGGAAACACTTAATTTTTTTTTTTAGAAAAGTTACATTTTAACATGTATTTGCCAAAGCCAGTAAGGAAAATTTAATCTTTAAACCATTAAGTCTTCTTCCTTCTAAAGGAATCTGTCGGTAATGCATAGGGTGGATTCACACACTGTGCTGAGTGCTAAAATGGTTTGCTCTGCACTGAGTTAGAACATTGTGTGAAACTGGCCACTGTGGTTTATAAATTTCTCTAAAGTCAGCCAATTGTGGTTTACTTAACCATAGTTAATATAACCATGACTCAACACAAGGAGTGAATTTGTCCCTTAAAATGTTGTGCTTGGAAATTTGCACAATAGTGTTTTAAAACTAGTTTTTAAGTTATATAATTATCCATGGTTTGTATCATCCATATGGGTAGTACATTTAAATTATGGTAGCCAACCATACCCATCATTATGAAATGTGAATATGGAGGCAGGTATTTTAATGGGTGCAACGCCCTTAGCAGATAGGCTTTTCTATTAGAATGCCTGATGTGTCATAACAGAAGATACCAATCATTTATGAATGAAAAAAATAATAATAGGAAAACAAAATTAGGGTTGAAGCTAACATTAATTTTCTCCTTCCATTACCAATTTTTTCTCTGCCCTCTGCATTTAGTAGGGGTGTCAGACTGGACCCATACAAAATGGGCCTGAGATTACTCTGTACAAATGCTAGTCAAAAAATATTTCTTAATAATCTATCTGAGTATTTCTGAACTTCATAGATATGTGAATTTCGATTTCCTAAATTCTCAACACATTCGTGCTGGTTGGAAATTATGGGCGTCATGTTCACATACCTGTGGTGTGCCCTGGATAAGGATGGGCAGCATATGGCAAAGAGCTATAGCAAAACCATTTTGCACACTTCAGTCGTATTTTACATCCCTAAATATAACTGTGTGAATTTATATTAATGCATATGTCAATGAAGCTTTTCCATTTATCGGAAATATTATATTATATTGTTCTTATGCTTCTCCTACTCATTTTTCTTCCTCTTCCTTTCTCTTGGGCCATACCAAACCATCTGCTGAATACTTTGTTCCATTGGTAGAGTGTCCCACCAAACACACACTATATACTTAAATCAAGTAACGAACTGACTCTGCTTAAGGAAGAAACAGATCTCTACATGCTTAGTTGGGTTCTCCGGGCTTTGGGAAATCAGTGCCAAGGTACTAATCAGGTTTTGTTTTTGCGGACCTTTTAGCTCATGTCCCAGCAAGGCTTCCTCAGTGGTTTACAAGTAGGAATTGTTTTCTGACAATTATATATATAATGTTTTAACTCGGGAACCGGGCTGGGGGGGCGGTGGATTGGAGTTTTTCTAGAATTAAGTAGATGCTGGGAAAAGTGGTGTCTCTGTTTGAAATGGTTAACACCATTAGCTTGCTACATCTGGCCTGTTTCAAATGCATCACTACCGTAGATGGTAGATCTCATCTTTGCTATTCCCATTTTTTTACTATCAGTTCTGTGGGCATGGCATGGCTTGGTGGGTGTGGCAGGGGAAGGATACTGTAAAATATCCATTCCCACCCCACTCCTGGGGAAAGGTTACTGCAAAATCCCTATTCCCTCCCCACCCCACTAACCTGCTTTCCAGCTCCATTCTCCTGTGCATGGCAACAAAAGAAGACCCAGCCCAACAGCTGGGACTCGGGAGACAGAGAATAGATGGGGGCGGGGCCAGTCAGAAGTGGTAGTTGCTGGTTCTCCAAACTACTCAAAATTTCCTCTACCAGTTCTCCAGAACTGGTCAGAACCTGCTGAATACCACCTCTGACTTTTTTCTGCTTATGTAAAACTCTTGCTTCTAGAATGAAAAAATGCCAAATTATAACTTTGCAAAAGTTGTGTAAAAGTTACTTCTATTTTCTTACCAATCACCTAATCCCTTGCAGCAAAGGAACAGTGCCCTTGAAGAATAAACCATACAAAGCATGCAGTTGTCTCAGGTTGCTAATGTGCTGTAGTGACGAAACACAGCCTGTGCTGAGAAGGTAAGTTACCAAAAATATTTCTGGGCTAGTCTTTTCTGTGGAAGTACTTATACGAATATCTAACAATAGGCAGATTTATTTTTAAAAAATGGCATTAATCATGTTCTCAAGGACTTAAATCCCCAAGGAATCATCAAATTTAATTTGACAAATCAATCAATCAATCAGTAAAAGCAAGCAATGAAAAGCTGGAAAGGATCATAGGTGAATTATTTTTGCAAGATGATAATTCAAAAGCAACCACTTCATTTACAAGTACATGTAATGTATTAATATGCAGCCTGATACATTCAAACCTGTTACATACTCTTAACAAGACTATTGCAGCCTAAAAGAGCCAGTAATAGATGGAATTAAGAAAAAGGAATGTGCAAAAGTAAAGAAACATTGGACAAAAATACATACATGGTTGGAAAAAAATGTTAAAACAACATATAAATTATAATCCAGAAATATTTTTACTAGGCATAATACCTGAACAATATGATAAAGGGAACTTATATTGGATACTACATGTTTTGACAGCAGCAAGAATTGTATTTGCACAGTACTGGAAAAACAAGGGAACACTTACAGAGGATGATGTAATTCAAAAATAAAATTTAGATTGTGCGGAATAGACAGATTGACATTAAAAATAAAAGAAAAAGAAGATACAGAGTACTTTCAAACATGGGATTTATTTTATAAATTGTTGGATAGTAGAGGTAGAAATTAGGAGCGGGAAAAGTATTATAATACATAAATAAATATGACCTGAAAAACTGATGCACGACCAATTTAAATATAGCAAACAAGAGAAGGGAGATTATTACATGCTAGCATGATATTATAAGGTTAATTTCCCCCAATAAGAATCAGCTTAACCATGGTATTTAAAGCACGTTTAAGCAACAGTACATTACAGTCTTTACCAAAATTACTCATGACTCCTTCCCAAGAACATTATATGTAGAAAACAATGGTCAGATTTACATCAAACAGCATATCACAGTTTGTTATATCCATGTTTTCTTGCATAAACTACAACTAAATTCACAAATAATGTTAATCCAGAGATGAGCAGCCTGCAGTTCCAGAACTGCACACAACCAAGTTTCTTTTCATTGATCCTTGAAACTTTTTGTTCACCATTGTTGCTCAACTTCATCAGTAGTATGATTTCCTACCATCTGGGGTCATAAAAAGGAGCCAAAGCTGCACCAGAAACCCTAAAACAAAGCTATTTGTTTTTAGTGAAAAGATACCTTTGCTCCACATTCTCCACAAAGGTCCAAGGGGAGAAAAAAAAGAGAAAAAATCCTAACTCTGCCCATTCATGCCAGTAGGACACTACATACCAATTCTGGTTTCTTCCTCCTTTCCAGTTATGGAGCCTCTCCAGCACCAAAAAAAATTGCTCCCCCTTCCAAACTATAAACTGTTTTTCAAGCTATAACAAATTAAAGCTATCTATGTCCACTTGTCTTTTTCTTACCCCAACTAACTTGGAACAAAAAGGATCAGAGTGCAAAGATATAGTTATCTTTATTGCATCAATTCCTTAGCAAAGAACGATATGATTAGATACTTGAATGAGACCTACCAACAAGGTACTGTGCAATTTGGAGACTTCCATACTGTTCAGCAGAGCTGCCTGGGGGTTATTGTCAACTTACCGAGAACAGTGCTGTGTATGTATTGCAACGTAATATGGACACATGAAAGACGGACCTTGCATTGTGATAGCACAATACTGCTTCTGTTGCTTTGACAAAAGTTTTATTTATTTGCTAAATTTATTTGCCACCTATCTCGCCATAGGACTACCATTCTGCGGGTGCTTCTGTGGTTTAGTGAAACATTTACACGAATGAGGTCTGCCAACTAACTACTTCAACAAGCACTTGCCGGAACTGTTATTTAAAATCATACAGCTGGAAGAGTCCATTTAAGCCAGCATCTCCCAAAGTGGTCAATATCAGTTCTCAAGGCTTGTCGAAGCTTACCCATTATTGCTGTTGTTATTATTCATAGTACTCTTAAATAGTATTCATTTTTATATAATAAATGGTCGATGAACGAACTGAAACTTCATGAAGTGGTTAATGAGTTGAAAAGTTTAGGGACCCCTGGTTTAAGCCAATGAGCCCACCTCCTCTGCCAGCTATTTGCTTATCCATTTGAGCATTCCAGCAAAGGGAAGCTGGCCATGTTTTTTGACTAGATGGCTCCTTCATTCAACTGTTCCAAATATCAATGAAATTTCCCTGAAATTAATGAATCTGCCTTACCTTAAGGTTGTCCCTTTGGGAAATAGTTAAAACCATTATTTTCTACCAGGCCTTGGAGAAGAGGGAGTTATACAAAGTCCTTGACTGCTATGTTTTGTGGGGATTTTTTAAAGTGTCACTATTATTTATTTATTTTTTCTTATTGGAAACTGCCGCAGTTGCTTTAATTTAAATACTGTATTTTTTAAAAAAACAGGCTATCAGGGTTTTTTTTGGGGGGGGGGGGGGGGAAAAAGAGACTTTTTGTTGCCTCTTCAATAAAAAAAGAAATTCTGGAATGGCACTGGTACAAAAACAAATGTTGGGATGAGACTTAGTTTGAAAGTTCCGAGTGTCTATGGAGATTCTCAATCATCCAGGTCATATTTGTCCCAAAGGTGCTTATTCATAGAGGCAATTGGGATTTTCTGGTTTTTCTTTGAAGACGTTTCGCTTCTCATCCAAGAAGCTTCTTCAGCTCTGGTTCTTCAGCTTCTTCAGAGATGAAGAAGCTTCTTGGATGAGAAGTGAAACATCTTCAAAGAAAAACCAGAAAGTCCAATTGCCTCTTGAAAAAAGCACCTTCCTGTATAATTCCTAAGGTTTTCAAAGGAAGTTATAGTAGCATATCCCTTGCAGCTAAAGGTTTTCTCTTACTATACCTTTAGCACCACACCCCCAAACCACATTGGAGGCATGTGCAGTTCTCTTACTAGTGTAGCTATGTTTCAGTTCAGCTTAATGGGATCTTATCTACAGATATCAACTCTGCTCCACCTGCAACCTGGGTTTCTCAATCCCAGCAAAGACATGTGGACTTCCAACTCCCAGAATTTCCCAACTATTCTATTCTACAGTAAAGTACATGTTGCATGAGAAGTATAATTCTCATACTACATACTAAGTGGGCATTCCCGGAGTTGTAGTCCAGCATTCCTGGAGAGCTGCGGTGTCCTTCTCCTGCTCGTGGTTTTGATTCCCTCCCCCATTGCAACATGACTTTAAGATCGCCCTCCGTTTTGGTATTAATAAAAAGCATTTTTTGGCACAGATTTTCGGGCTCTTAGCCCAGCGCTCGGGAAAGCCAATCGCGGTGAGAAGCAGATTTTCCATGCACTAACCAAGGGCGGCGGAGGGCCAGGGAGGCTCTAAGCTGGGCTGCTCCAGCCGACGCCCCTTATTTGCAGCCCCGGAGGGCTGACGGCTCTGTTCAGCAGCTCACCTGGGCGATCCCGGAGCCCATTAGGCCGGCTCCGACCACCGTCACATGCTTGATCACCAGCTTCTTGGCGGCTGCGGTGGAAGCCAGGCGCACGAAGGGACGGGTCGCGAAAGCCATGGCGAAGCACGCTCTTCTGCGAGGAGGAGGAGGAGGAGGCAGCGGCGTGGGCGTAGCCGGCCCTAGAGGCAGCCGAGGATGGGCGGGCCAGCGCCGACAAATCCAGCGCGAGGCTGCAGACCCGAGGGCCGAGCTTCCTGCTCGTTCCTCCCATTTGCCTTTAGTCAGGAAGGCTGAGGTTGGCCAAGGTGGCTAGTGGCGCTCTAGGCCCGATTTTCTCTTTGAGGCGCCTTCGGTGGTTCTTCGGCGCCTCCTTGTTTTGCAGACTCCGTCGGTTGGCAGACCTCATTTGCCCGCAAGAAAACCTCTTGCCTTTGAACTGCAAGGCATTCTCCTTCGAGTACCTTTGGCGACCTGAACAGGTGTGGACTTCAACTCCCAGAATTCGCCAGCCAGCTTTTGGGGAATTGGAAGTTCACACTTCTTCAAGTCACCAAGGTCGAGATATATTGGGATACCACCCCCCCAAATAGGATTTGCTTAGGCTAAATATTTGTTTTTCAAGGCGTAGGAGCCATTATCGAAAGTGTAGTAGACACATGTCTGTTAAAAAGATGCTTTCTCTTAGTTAAGACGATGATTTGAGTTTGCAATCTGCAATATAATTCTACAAATCGGATTATAACGTCGTTCAGGAATGGTTTGAATTCCATTGCGCTATATTTCCCACCCACGGTTTTTTCCCCTGAATATTTGAACACTTTTTGATGAACAGTTCTTGGAAATAGCCGAATCTTAAAACTATTTCATCAACTTTCTCTTGCTTAATAGCACTTAGATTTATATACTGCTTCACAATGCTTTACAGCCCTCTCAAAGCAGTTTACAGAGTCACCATATTGCCCCCCAACAATCTGGGTCCTCATTTTACCTATTTCAAGGTTCTTGAATTTCAACTTCCACATAGCTGTTGCTTTCACTTTAAAAAGAACATTACATATATTTAATGATGTGGGCTTTAAATACATGATTTTACTTTATTTCCCTCAGATTATAGAAGAATATAAATTTCAGTAAATTTTACATTTATAATAAAAGCAATTAATTAAATAATTCAGTATTTGGTAATTCTCATTTCCTAAACTTGTGATGGCAAACCTATGGCACACGTGCCAGAAGTGGCACACAGACCCACTTCTGCCAGCACGCAAGCCGTTGGCCTGGATCAGGTCCACTGCGCATGCACAGGCGCCTCCTGCCAGCCAGCTGATTGTTGGGTAACTGCCGTGCATGTGAGGGGTGGGGTGTGCGTGGGAGATGCACAGAGGTGCAGGGCATGTGCAAGAGATTGCGCATTCATGCAGAGGCAACTGGGGTGTGTGTGTGGGGGGTGTCACATGCATTATGAATGCGACTTTTGGCACGCGACCACGAAAAGGTTAGCCATCGTCCCAAACGAAGGCTTCAGAATGTATATTAACATGAATCTTTGTTTCCTATTTCAAGGATTTTCAAATTAGTTCTGTAAAACCTGAGCATTCACCAGAAACAACACACACACAAAAATCAAGAGTTAATTCTCACCACTTACAGCTTTGTCTCTTTTCCAAAGGCTCCGGGTTTTATTTATTTAACTACCGTAACAGGTTCTCTGGTCTGAAAAATTTGAATTTTTGATATGATAGTAATTTTGCTTGGCACACAGGCTTACACATATACTAAGTATAAACATGTGCGTAGATTTGACTTCTTGCCTGCTTCACTTTCTAATGGCTGGTGATTTTAGCTCACCCATTGCATTGTGCCACTGATTTCTTAACTTACCAGTAGTTGGCTGCACTTGAATAACTCACTGAGGCATAGCATACATTGTTTGAAATTATAATTAGTTTAGACAATATAGGAAAAATATACAAATTTTACAACAGTTCTACCTACATCTGGTTCAATTTAAAGAAATTATTTGAATTAAGAATTTTTATATAGAAAACTACAGTTGCCAAGAATAATTGGAGAAAGATAATACAATAGTGTCATATCAGCCAGAAATAGGAAGAACACTGGAAGAAAGCATTTAGGTACATAAAAAGCAACATAGTGCAACCTTGGGTCACGACCGTAATCCGTTCCAGGACTTTGGTCACAACCCGATTTGGTCATGACCGGAAGCGAGACTGACCACACAAGCGCAGACCCCCCAAAAATGGCGTGGAAGGGGAAATTGCTGTGGCAGGGAAAATTGCCGCAGCTATGTTTGGTCACCACCCGAGGATTTGTTCACGACCAGTCAAACATTTAGTGGATTTTTTGGTCGGCACTCAATTTGGTCGTGGTCAGAAGCATTCGTGACCTGCTGCGGTTCCACTGTTTCTATAATATAATTCTAACCAACCTGTGATTTTCCAGATATTTTATACTCCTAAGCATTTGAACAGCAATTGAGAAAAGCTAGTAAAATATTTGTTTATATTTTTAATACCCACAGTAGAACATGCTTAAAAACAAAATTGTCTTCTTAACAGTCTGTTTTTAAAAATAAAACTTTTATTTAGTCAAATATTTTATTTATATAAAACTTTATTTAGATTAACATGTTTCACACTTTGTCGAAACATAGGCACCTTAAAAAAAGCAATCCATTATTTGAGATCTTGGATTTTACATTCTCATCCTAAAATTCTAAACAAGGCATTCATTTTGAAATAAACATTTAGACAATATAAACATTAGCAAGGTATAGGCAACTAATATACCCAGCTCTTACACAGGCCCTTAGTGCCTTCTAAAATGCAGAAATACAGACCTTTGGAATCTGACAAAATTATAAAGTGCTTCAGTAAAAGACTGCTTCTTTACAAAAGGACATACGCATACCAAGGATCAGTTGTATTTTGCCTGATAAGATTATCTGCCATAGCACTATTCATCTAAATGTTAGCAGTGCAATCGAAGGACAAGGATTGTCAAAGATAGCCAAGTTTCCTTTTTAAAGGACAATTCATTCTGCAAGTTAATTCATATTATACTAGATCACAATGCCCTTTTATGAACCAGTTAAATATTGTTCATGCAATAAACCACAGGTAAGCAAAAATGGTTCAGTGTGTTCATCAAACCTGCTGATCCATTAATTCAGGTTCTCTGTGAACTGAAAATGAATGAAAACCCACCATTTTCAATTGGAATTACTTTTGATTTTCCATCAAAAAGTACAAGCCCCAAATTTTGGTAGTATGATTTTTTAAAATTAGGATAACATGCATGAAAAGGAATAGTTACCTTTCTTACCTCACCCAAGGAACATTTTTCTTTTTAAAAAAGCGGTTGATTTAATTAAAAAGTTACAAAATAAAGTTCTTTTCAAGCATGTCTAAGTGCACCCTCATTTATGCTTCTGTATGAAAACAGGAATGGGAAAAAGTTAAGGAAGTCTTTCACATAAATGTGAGTTGGGGTTAAATACATGTACATCTTTTTATTATGCTGAATAGCATCTAAATGTTCATCAAAACATTCTGCATTTATGGACCATGAAATGCCAAATGTTTTGATGAACGTTTAGATGCTATTCAGCATAATAAAAAAGATGTACATGTATTTAACCCCAACTCACATTTATGTGAGAGAAATATAGGAACTAACAATTATTCTTCCTCTCTCTACATTTTAGTATTTAAAAAGCATGGGATTTAAATTCTAATCTTATTTTGGCAAATAAGATTAGAATAAGAGTTTCATTCCTATCATTCATTTCTAAAGGCCTTTTTAAATTAAATTTTAAGTCCCAAAAATCAAACTCAAATATTTGTCAATTGAATTATTTTATGCATAGTTCATGCCAGGACCACAATTATAACTGGTCAAGACTGCTCTCCAATACAAATGGCAGAACATTAAGGTACTGGAGACAAGTACATCTTCTGTCCAATAAAATCATATTTTTAGATATTATCATTATATTTCCTATGCTTTTCTGGAGCAGTACAGTTTGACCATGCTAATGTCGCTTCCTATGGCATTTACATTATTTATTACGCATTTTCAACATAGATGTTACAGGTGGCTTGCTGGTTAAATCAGGCTGAGCTTAGCAGTTTCTGAAATCTGCCAGAAACTCAGAATTTGAACAGTTGAGAAATTACCTAAATTGTGCCAACAAAAAATTAGCTTTTAGCAAACAGCAAATAAATCTCATATTAAAAATTGAATTGTGCAAGTCTACTCAATGTTTTGCTTTTCTTGATTAGCCCAAAGGAACAGTAGTTGGGCAGTGATGGTCCCTTAGAATCAATAACATCATTCTGCATCACCCCTGGAGATCTCACTCCATTTCCATCACCTTTTAAAAGTAAATTTTGCCTTCATTATTAAAACAAGGATGGAACATTCATTTAATTGAACACATCTATGTATGTTTGAGGCTTTACACTTAAAAAAAACACCTTCCCTGAAGCATGTAAAAGGGGTCGTCAACCTGAGGATTGAACTAACATTTGCATATGCAGGACAGCTATTTTTTTTTATTTACTGCTGAAAGTGAAGACAAGTCAGACTTATCCAATAGAAGACACCCCTCTTCCTCCTGAACAGTCTCTGGTTTTTAAGACAGTTTGCAATGCCACTCAAGTTTTCAAGATAACCTGTTATGCATCTTAACTATGTCTTTTTAAAAGTCCCAAATACATAAGTGCTTTCTGAAATTTTGGGGGGGCTTTTGTCTATTGTCGTGTGCAAATTAGATTTCCAATATATTCATTGGCTTTTTATCTACTTAAAAAAGCAATTAACAACCAACGGTTCCCTTATGTGTGGCTGCCCCAATTTTCTCTTGTTACTCAGCAGCTCTTGGGGTTTACATACTTCAATTTGTTATAATTGAAGAGTTTCAGCATATCAAGTGGGAGACAGCCCAAGCGAAGGAGAAAGTGCTTGATAAGTTTTGGATACCCCATGGGCTGAAATTTCCTTGCCTGCTTTGGGCTAATGAGTAGGTTTTAGTGAAGAACGTTTCATTTATAGCCCTGAATTTCATATAGTAACATGAACATCATGCAGCATTTTTTTGGAAGTTTCCTCATCTCTTTAAGGCAATAAGTTTAAATGGGAAGGGAGCTAATGTTAGGCCAAATCTTCCTTCCATTGGTGGTTTCTTTAAGTCCTCAGGGTATATAAAGGTGAAACTTTGTAAAAGGCTCACAAACATCAAGAAAAGCTCCATCTTGGCAAGCTGTTCTCCCATGCACACACGTTTGCCTTTAAAAACAAAACAAAAACAAGAAAAGGGGTTACAGGGAGACAAAAATGAGTTTTCACAATTAATTAGTGCAGAAAACAGTTTTCTTTTCATCTCAATTTTACTCAATTTGATGAAAGGGCATTTGCTTCAAAGAAATGATCGAATGATGGGTGGAATATTGTAGCCTTTTGTCTATATTTACTGTATGTGTATGCACATATGAGAAAAAGAATTTCCTCTCTTCAGATATTTAGATATGAGACGTTGGACCTCTCCCTCATTCAATCCCAAAGGAAAACATTGAGAAGGAACTCTTCCTACAATTAGGGGCATTCTTGTTACTAAGAAGCTCAGCGCCATAGAAATTGTTGGAGAATGTCTGCTTCTTCTTCTTCTTGAAGACACCAGAGCAATTGTCCCCCTAGTTTCTCAGAACAAATCCAATGAAGAATTTTGAACAGTATTGGTGCATTTTTATTAGCATTCTTTTTTTCTGTTCAATAATGTCTGATTCTTGGAAACTGCCTGGACAAATCCCTGCAGTTATTTTGGTAAGATTTTTCAGAAGGGATTTGCCATTGCCTCCTTCTCAGGATTGAGAGAAAGTGACTGGCCCAAGGTCCCCCTGCTGGTTTTGTGCCTAAGGCAGGACTAGAACTGACAGTCTCTGATTTCTAGCCTAATCCCTTAACCACTACACCATAATAGCTCTCTAATTCTCTCCTACAATTTATTAAAATGAAATTCTAGGTAGTTTTTTTCTACCCATTCTGTTTCTAAAATGGTTTTGACAAAAGGCAGCATCACAAAAGAATTGATTCCTGTTTTGACAAAAGGCAGCATCACAAAAGAACTGATTCTTATTGTGTAAATATTTTCTGCGCGGTTTGTTGTTATTTGTAGCCTGTTTACCTAATGTATGACATAATATTACGGCTGTGGAAAACCATCACTTGCCTATAAGAAGTTATGGGGCTACAGCCTTATGGAATGAGCCTCCAAGGTCATAGTTAAAATGTTCTAAATAGGTTTTGTTTATTGAAAAATAATAAAAGGATGATCTAAGGAATGATAGTAACTGTAAAATATTTACAGTTAAAAGACTTGGAAAACACTGGTCTCCTGTTACACAATCTTATATAACGTCAAATCTGGGAGACAAGGTTGAGGCCTGATCTATATTTTTCCTACATTCCTACACCACCTAATTCGGTGATACACAAGTTGTGACCTTCGAAAACCTTGGAAGTTGACCTTTTAAGCTTGGTGATAAATTATAACTCAATACATTCATGAAGAATGATGATAAAATTGCATCACTTCAACTTCTTTTATTTTATATTGCCATTACATTAAATGAATTTCACTGCTTTCATTTTGGGAGTTTGGTCCTTTGTCACACTGCTCAAGGATCAAGGGCTTCCCACAGCCCTAATAAAGACGTACATTCTTGGCCGAAGTCACTGTTTCCCCTATTGTCCTAAGAGCATTTCTGCTTCATCCAGTATTTTTGATACCACTTTTATGATATTTTTAAAAGTTTTTCAAATTTCTTATCAATGTCATTGTTGCTGTAATGTAATTTTTTGTTTTCAAGTTCTGTGCAGTATCAGCAATTGTGGGCTATGACTGGCATCTGGGTTCAAGAAATTGGGGTTCTAGTATTCATACCCAAGTACATATAATAGGTGTGAACAATACATCAGTTAAATTGAACCTTCACATGTGGACCTTTTCATGGCTGACAAAATGATTGCTTCTGACCCCAAAAGGGTCCTCTGCAGTGTCTACTACAAATAAGTAAGTGATTTAAAGATCTATCACATTAATGTTGACATAATCTTTACTCTAAATGATTAAATTACCAATTCCAAAAGGAATAAATGTTTCTTTTTTGAGGAGCTGGCCATTCTCATCCAGAAATCTTGCCGGGCAAAAATCATTTGGGTTTTCCCATTTGTTGGGATCTCTGTGCACGGACCACAGGTTAGGAATGATTACACTGCCCTTTGGAATAAGGTATCCCTGAAGCTCTGAAAGGAGAATAAAGCTCAAGTTAAAATATACAGATCTCCAAAGATCAATAAAGTACCAATTCATAACTAGAAACATCAAAACTGAAGCAATTCTCCTCTATAGAATTCCTTTCCTCTAGCTCTTAGTTCCTGAAATCAATAGGCATTAAAATACTGATTTGGATGTTATTTTGCCTATTATTTTATTTGTTATTACAGGAATGCAAGTGTCTCTCTCTCTCTCTCTCTCTCTCTCTCTCTCTCTCTCTCTCTGTGTGTGTGTATGTGTGTGTGTATTTGTGGAAGAGGGAAATGTAAACATAAGGGAGACTAATCAAACCACAATATTATAAACATAAATGTCATGCTTTTTGTAAATATTACAGCCACTTGAAATATGTTTTCAGCTACAGCAGGTAATCCATTTGCTTCCCCTCCCTGTAAAAATCCCCTAGTTGCTACTAAATTACAATTCCTAAGGTGACAAAACAAGAAAGTATTAACAATTAAATAAAAAATGCCACCTGTAAAAATGAAAGTAAAAACAAGTTATTGTAATTGTTAAGATTAGTATCCTACTTTTCATTCAGAATCTTAAGGTATTGAGCACAATATTCCCTCCTTTAGCTTTAACCCATAACAACAACACTCTTGAGATGGTTGAACTAAAGAGTGGTTGGCCAAGAATTACCAGTAAACATCTACATTAGAAGAAGCACTTGTACTTGGGTACCCCTTGTCCTAGTTCAACAAATTAACTACTATGCTACCCTGGAATTTGTAGCAACACAAATGTTGCTCATTTCAGTTTTTCAAGTTTCTACTGAAAGTATTGTTTCTCAGCCAAATGAACTTGCAGCAGGAAAGAACAGCATTTTCAAGCTGACCAGCATATCACCTCTTCAATACTGACCGGTAGATTCTGAGGCCATCCGAGGAATAGAAAGAGGGACAACCACTGTCATCCTTTGAACTTCCATAATAGTTGCTTCTGTAAAGGGCATGTGCACTTTATCAGCCAGGGTAGGAGGTCTGTTGCACCCAATTACCAATTCAATTTCTTCTTGAACCTTTCCTATGCAAAATAAATAAATAGTAAAATGAATGTTTTGGGTGGGTAGAGAACTGGTTCATCTGCAGCCTAATGAAAAAGGAGGGTTACTGGATATATAGAGAGAGACTTTCATGATACAGGTCCAGAAGAGTGACACAATCTGCTCTTCTAGATGCGGGTTCCTTTAATCTTGTATTTGTCTGCTGTGCCGTAAAAATCTGTACACTGATTAGTTTAAGATGTGCTTTAGCATTTTGAAAAATAATGTCTTTGTGAATTTGGTTCACTGAAGCTGGAATTTCATTCTGTCTGCATACACAGGAAATAGAAAGTAGGAATGAAAAGGCAATTCTCTCCTTGGTTCAGATATGTAAAGTACTGTCCCAAGGAATCATTATTGGGAACTTGCCCTTTTTTAAGTAAACGATTTGAAATTAAGATTTGAGTAGTGAAGGAGTTATGCCTGCTGATATTATCAAAATGTTCAGGGTGGACATACCAAAAAAGAACTGTGGATTGCCCTGAAAATCCCTCTCCTAAGTGGGCAAAATGTCTTCAAATGTAGTTTAATATAAATGCATAAAATTATGTATGTTGGCATAAAAATCCCCATGTTTCACCTATACATTAATGGAACTATGCTAATAGTGATCAATCAAGAAAGAAACTTGGAACTATGGTAGATTAGAAAGTTCAGTGAGATATCAACCTAGCATGGAGATGCTGTTAAAAAAATGAATGTATGCTTGAAAAGAAATTGGGAAAAAAAGAATTGGCAATCCCAAAATGCCCTTATATAAATCTATGGTGAGATCACGGTTGGGAGTGTCATGTACCTTTCTATTCAGCACACCTTAAGAAAGATTTTAAGCCTAAAGCCTGAAAAAGTATAACAGGCTACAGCAGTTGTCCTGTAAGAAAAACTATAGCAACTGGCCTGCTTAACTTGGAAAAATAGCAGCGGATGTGACAAAGGTATAGAAAATCATGAATGGCACGGATGGAGAAATAAGGCTTTTGTCCTTTCCTCACAAAGAGGACTGAGGGTAGTCATTGAAACTAATTGCACAGAGATTCATGATTAATATAAGGAACTCTATTTCATACAGTCCATAAGTCACTGCCAAGATGGATGGTTTTCAAAGGGTACTGGCCAGATTCACAGAGAATCAGTTGATTACTGGCTACAAATTCCATTTACAGACTGTATGTCTTAAATACTGGTTTCTGGAAAATAACAGAGAATGAGGGATAACCTTTACAGGATTGTAAGATTCCTGAATAAATCCAGCTGAACATTGGGAGACACAATATGTTGGAATACATGGGCCTAAGGTCTGAATTGGGCATTGGTAAATTTACCTGTGAACGCCCTTTCTATCTATGCTGCGAGAGAGCCCAGGATGGGGTAGACTCCTTCTTATGATGTCATTAAGCTGGGTCTGTACTTGTATATATAAAAAGCCAGCCCCTGGGAGAATCCCCAGCTTTGGTGAAGATACTTGACAGACTGAAGAAGTGTCTCTGAAAGCAAACAATCCAATACATTAACATGCCTTACCATCTCTGGACGAACCAAGGGAGGGGCTGGGCTCTCTCGCAGCATAGATAAAAAGGGCATTCACAGGTAAATTTACCAACGCCCATTCTCCTCCATGCTGCGAGAGCCCAGGATGGAACATACCAAAGCTTGCATGTCCACGGGTGGGTACTCCCCTGGCCAATCACTCCAATGGTGGAAACACTTGCTGAAGAACCCGTCTGCTGAAGGCCGCCGTCGCCAAGGCAAAGGAATCCAGGCGGTAGTGTCTGATGAAGGGAGACAGGGATGTCCACATAGCCACTCTGCAAATCTCTTCCAAGGATGCCTGGGTGGCCCAAGCAGCTGAAGTGGCTGCACTTCTGGTAGAGTGTGCCGTTAGACCATGGGGTACCAGAAGAGCCGCCGCTTTGTAGGCTTGTGCGATGCACGTCCTGACCCACCTGCTAATAGTGGGGGAAGAAGCCTTGCTCCCCAAGTGAGAAGATGAAAAGGAGACAAACATGGCTTCTGTCTTTCTAAAAGGGGAGGTACGCATGATGTAAATTCTAAGAGCCCTTCTGACATCTAGAGTATGCCACTTGCGCTCTAAGTCATGGTATGGAAGAGGACAGAAGTCAGGTAACACAATGTCTTGGGACCGGTGGAACCAAGTATTAACCTTTGGGATAAAGGAGGGGTCCAGGTGGAGAACAACCCTATCATTGTGAAAGATGCAAAGATCCTGCCTGATAGAAAGGGCGGCCAGTTCTGACACCCTTCTGGCCAAAGTGGTAGAAACGAGGAAAACTACCTTTAGAGTTAGGAATTGGACAGACGCTGTTCTAAGGGGTTCAAAGGGGGGCTTTAAGAACCAAGTGAATGTCCCATGAAGGATACCTGTGCACCACAGGAGGGTGTAGGTTGGAAGCCCCTTTCAAAAATCTCCTGACTGAGGGGTGATGGGACAAGGAAGGAAGCGAATCCCATGAAAGAACTGAGGAGAGAGCTGCTACCTGGCGACATAAGGTATTGGGGGCTAAACTTTTCTCCAAGCCATCCTGAAGGAATCTAAGAACCTCTGCCAATTGGGCTGAGGAAGGAGAGAGACCCTCCTTGAGGCACCATAGGGAGAAAACCCTCCAGGTGGCATCATAGAGGCGCCTCGTAGAAGGTTTGCGAGAAGCCTGGATGGTGAGGATAACCCCCTCTGGGAGATTAGCCTCCCTTAGCTGCTGCCGCTCAAGCGCTGCACGGTCAGCTTCAGCCACTGGGGCTACGGATGGATCAGGGCCCCTCGGTGCAGGGAGATGGGTGACCCCCTCCCCCCCAAAAGGGCCATTTACCAGCAGAAGGTTGTTGTCTGCCGGGTGGTTCTTGACGTTGGTCTTGGCGCTGAGAATACGCCCTCTGTGGCCAAGGAAAGCAGGAGGTGGATTCCGCCCGAAAGGCAGGTGGCTGATAAGGAACTGGGCAATAGTCAGCTTTTTTCCCTGAGGAGGAAAGAATTTTACATTTATCTTTGGTCTCGATGAGATACGGCTCTAGAGCCTTGCCAAAAAAGCTTGTCTCCTGCACAGGGGGCAGAGGCCAGCTTCCATTTGCAGTGTGACTCCGCCTGCCAATTTCAGAGCTACAGAAGCCTTCTTGCCGCCACCGAAGATGCCATGGCCCTTGATGCAAATTTGGCGGAATTGAGGGTGGCATCCGCAGTGAATTCCGCCACTGCTATAATTTTGTTAAGGTCCTGATGAGACTTGAGATCAGAGGCAGGCAATCGATCCTGCAGTTGGTGCAGCCATCATAGAGATGCCCTTGTGAAAAACGATGCAGCAGTTGAAGCCCGAACAGCCCACACAGCTGCTTGGTGGTTGCGCTTGAGGGTCTGTTCAGAACACTTGTCCTCTGGTTTAAGGACAGCCTCTGGCTCGGTGGGAGTGCCAGAAGAGGAGAATGATGCCACAACCGGAGCGTCTACTGAGGGCACTGCAAGGGCGTTGGCTAGGGATGTGCTAACATTGTAAAACCGTTTGTCCAAAGATGATGGACGAGGACCTGCCGAAGGGGAAGTGCACTGCTCCTTGACCATGTCAAGAAACAAAATGGGAGAAGGCGAAACCTCTGTATGTACTACTGACTTGGAGAAGAGCGAGTCTCCTTGCTCGGAGGGTTTCCCTTGTGATTCACGTGCTGCTTCCTCAGGTGACAGCTTGGCAGTGACCAGGGCCTTTATACTTTAGGGGTATAAAGAGGGCTGGTTTAAAGACTAATGCCCTGATTTTTGCAGCCACTTCCCTCTGAGCAGTACGTTGTCTGCGTCTTTTTCTTTTAGTGGGTTGGAGGGCCTGTTCCACCGGGGGGGGGGGGGGGGGCTTTGCATGAGCACTGTCCTGATTCATTTTAAATAAGCAAGGCTCAAGTGTTGAGAGAATGGCTTTGGAGCCCTGAAAATGGCCGCCAGGCAACTTAAAATGGCCGCTCACCTTGTGTCTGAAGAGACTGCACTCAAAGGTGGCCGCTGCTCGTTGATGGCTCCAAGAAGTGAATTTCGCTCCTTAGGCTACTGCAAGCCCCGAGCAATCAGATCAGCCAGAGAAGGAAGAGATGCCTCCCATGTGATCAGCTGGCTGGCTGTTATCAGTTTGCCAATCAGTTTTATGATCGGACAAACTGCGGCTATGGGGAAGGTCTCAGACGCTTCCCTGCTTGTCTAGCAGTGCTTGGAAAAATGTTTATCCCAACATTGCAGGAGAACGGGGCCCCACTCTTGTGAAGCTGCAGCTGCCCAGATCCCCGGGAGCTGATTGAAGCAAGGGTAGCTTCTGAAGAAAATCACTGAATAAAGCTTATGCTTTCAGAGACACAGCTTGTGACTTAAAGAAGCTGAGTCAAAGCTGGGGATTCTCCCGGGGGCTGGCTTTTTATATATACAAGTACAGACCCAGCTTAATGACGTCGTAAGAAGGAGTCTACCCCATCCTGGGCTCTCGCTGCAGCATGGAGAAGAACAGCAGAGTTCTTATTTTCATACAGTGGAGTATTTCAAAATAAATTAGCAAAAAAAACCTATTTGCACAGCTTTAATGCCAACTAAATGTCAAACACTGCCCTCTTCTCCCTGAACCAGAAATCTGACTAGACCTAAAATGTGTTGGAAAAAAAATAAGCCAACAAATTAAATGAATGGAATGTTTTTTTACAAAAAAAGGTTAAAAGACTGTTTTGCTATGGATATTTTTGTCCAAGATTTGGTATTTTTCATTACCTGGATGGATGAACTCTCAAAATGGGACTGTGGAAGTGAGCTAATTTCCAGTCATAGTGCAGAAAAGAATATAGGGGCAATGTTTTGGTTTTAAAACAATGTTAAATCTATCTTGGGGTTTGCATTATAACTTTTCTACATTTCATGCTCCAAGATGGGGACAATAGGACACCAATTTTCAGCAAGAAGGGTCAGAAGGCTCTGCAAAGATAGAGAAGCAAGTTGTGTATTTCTGTTCTAGAATATCCTATATTCATTTATTGAAGACTTTCCAAATTGCTGCCAACTCCAAAATCAGAACTTGTGAAAACTTTCGATAGGGTGGCAGAGAATAAATAATACATGAAACATGAAAGCTGTTCAGTCAGCAATTTGCTGTCACTATGTATGCTGTGCTTTTAGCAAAAAAAAAAATATTTTTATTCATTAAATTATTCACTAAATTTCTCAAGACTTAGCCCTCCTTTACAAAAAATTGAAACATCCACTCTAAAATATTAAAAGCAACAGAGTAGCAATCAAAGCAACATGGTGACATCCTATTATTCCTCTAAATGGCTTTTGAAGAGTTTTGTTTAACCAACTTTTGAAAAACAACCACTGAGGGGGCCAATCTTGTTTTCAGGATAGGCTGTTCAAGAATATTGGGGCATTAGTGAAGAACAGCCTTTGCCTTTTCTAGCTCCCAACCCCCTCATTTCAATGGGACAGCACTAGCAGTTTTTCCCAGAAAAATACATTGGATGGGCCAACTCTAGTTGGAGTTGCCATTAAAGACAATATAGATTAGACCAGCACCTGGGAACCTATTGAAAGTCAGTTCAAGAGCAACAATACAAGTATTATATGCTCATAGCAACAAACACCAACCCAAGAATCAGTTCCAGTGAAGATTCGCAACAGCCACACTTTCCACCCAAGCATGCAATAGTAGGCATGACTCAAAAAACATCTCCAAGTTGTAATCCTGCTACCTCAAGAGTAGTACTTCTATGTCAAGAGACACCACTTGAACAGACAAAATACTGTGATGAACAAACAGCAATTTCTTGCTTGGATTCAGTTTTAGCATGTTTTGTTCATCCGGACTCCAGCAGCCTTCAGACATTGGGATGAGATTTCTACAGTGCAATAGTGACATATAATTAATGCCATCTGCAAACTAAGGATATTTCACTTCAAACTGGCAGATGACATTTCCTAGTACTTTCAGGTAGATGGTAAAAAGCAGCAGGGAGAAGACCAAATCCTACAGCACAACCAAATAGCTACCATGCTTTTCCTTCCCCCATGACCACTCACTGAAACTAGCCTCTGAATCTTCTTCTTTACTTCCTCTTTTACCACTTCCGGTGTCGAGGGATTTCTGAATAAGGAACAAAAGTGGAGCAAAATAGTGCCTGCAAGTCATAGTACCTATGCAATTCTATGTCCCATAGAATCAGAGGCTGCTGAGTGAGATCTGATAAGATTAGTAGAGCACATTAATCGAGGCTCTGACAAGGTCATCAACCCGAAAGCAATGCCATCTTGGTCCCAATCCGTTTCTTTTAAAGCACCTTACAACTAAATCCCCAATGTACTACCTCCCCACCCCCCAAAATAGGTTGCCATACTGGGCATTGGCTGTTGAGAACAGTTGGATATAAACAGGCTCCTTCAGGGTGGTGGAGTCAGAATCATCTTCAAGATAGAATTTCGTATCCTAAACCTTATTACCTCATGGCTTCAACTCATCAGCACCCTACCATCCCACAGCCTCAGAAAGGATCATGACGTCCCCTTGGGAGAATTTGCAGTCTCTCTTTCTGCCTGTTTGTTATTGTTTCAGCTTTATTTATTCTTTTTAAAAAATGACTCCAAAGTTAATCTACCAGCATATCCCATTTGTTTGACAAATCCTACTTACAAAATGACCTAGAATATACTTTTAATCCAATCCACTCTTGAAGCAGTAACTCTGCCTGGCCAGCTGAACAATCTCCAACATTTTATTGCTTGAACAACAAAGACACTTTATATCTTCATTAAATATTTTACTACCCTCAGCACCAGGCTGAGCAACTTTCTTGAGGTGAATGAGAATATATATAACTGAGGTTTGGTATTAGGGAAGCAGTTGGGCCACTATTTTCAGACCCTCTGGGGTAGTTGGGATTAAGGGACTTATACTGCTCAAGGAGAGAAAAACCTAAGTTGGCATATAATTATTATGTATAATATGTTAATTATGAAAAAAACTTTTAAAACATCAGTTCCAATACAGCTGTCTTGGAAGATTGCTTTGTTTCGTTTCTCCATCCTGAGAAAAGAGTTTCATCTACTCCTTTATAGAATGTTTTAAATACAGTAGATAGGTCTCTTTACATTGTGGAACATAACCCCTAATTCTATCACATACGCAGGACTTTCACTCCCAATGCACTGACAGAGATATCTTGTCTATTCCAAGTTCTGCAGGAGGTTTTGCCAAGAGGCTCCGATCAGTTCTCCTGCTCCTTGCATAGACTTTCCCTTCTTTTTTTTTAAGAAGTACAACCCCAGAAAGAGAATAAAGCAAACAAAAAAATGCTGCTCCCTTTTCCCTGTCATTGTTCTTTTTCGTAAACATCTTGGAAAGTCTGGCCCAACCCACCCACACTTCTTAGAAAGCCCAGCCCGCCCACTCACCCAAGTAGAAAAGCTTTGAATTACTGACTTCAAAGTAGGTTTAGTAGGAAATGTAGATAAAATGCCACGTACTTTGCTCTTGTGGATGAAGTGACATGTAAAGAAGGCTCCAGAGTAGCGTGTTGGTGGTAGTGTCCGTGCCTGCAATAAAAATGTCTCCAATAATGAAGAACAGGTAGTCTTCATTAAAGCTACTTTCCCCATTGATCTTCTTTTCCTCATCTGAATGCAGGAGATACATATCAATGAAGTCTCGGGGATACTGGACATCCAAGCTTTCCCTGTGCTGTCTAATGATGTTTTTCAAGAAAGCTCTGATATTTAGCACAATCTGCCTGAATTCTCTGAAAGGTCCAAAAGGAAGATAATAGAGCCATGGGCAAATGTTGACCAACAGTACCTGACTATTCAGGCTGACCTCCAGTGCACGTGACATAAGATTTAGCATGTTCTTGAACTCTGCATCATCATAATCAAAGCGCCTACCAAAGGTTATTGAGCAGATCACATTGGACACTGCGTTGCCAATAATAGGGAAAGGATTGAATTGCTCCTCTCCATGTTTCAGGATCTCATCTTTCACATACTTGAATTCTTCAATGATTTTAGGCTCCAGACTGTGCTTTCCTAATCCAAACTGACGGAGAGTTGAGTGGGAAAACTTCCTTTGTTTTTTCCACACTGGACTATAAGGCGCAAATACTACACCTGTAGGGAGAAAAGAACATTTAAGATTTGAAATGGGGCTTCTTTGAATCCTTGGAAACCTTGTTTGCAGCTTCTTTCATTCCAAAGCCTTTGTCAGCCAGCCTGTTGCTTGCTAACATAGAAAGGGGAGAGGGAATGGGGGAAAATTACATTGCAGCTTTGCAACTGCTGTTATCTACATCAGTGGTCACTAACCAGTGGGCCGGAGACCACTGGTGGTCCGTGAGAAAATTTTGGTGGTCCGCAGAGAAATATTACCCCAAAGCACCCCCAAAGCAATTAATCCAAGTCCGAGGGAACAAAAGGATTGTGTCGCTTGTATTGTGAACAACACAAGATAGTGAGGGGAGGGGGGAAAAGAGTGGAAGGGGGAATTTGCCCCACTCGCTCCATGCGCCTCACCCGGCCACTGGGCTGCTTCTTTCCACTTCTTTCTTTTTCTGCTTTTGGCTGCACACAAGGAAAGCAGAAAAGGTCTTTCTTTCTCTCCCCCCAAACTCCACCAGAAATGAGTCTTTGGGACCCTGCAAGGCATCCTGCTCCAGGAGGCTGCGCTGGCAAAGACTAATTTCTGGTGGAGTTTCAGGGAGAGAAAGAAAGACTTCTGCTGCTTCTGCTGCTTTCCTTGCATGAAGCCAAAAGTATCTCTCTCTCTTCCCCTGAGAACAGAGCTGGAGACGGTATCCTGCAATCTCAAATAAAGAATGATTGATTGGTAGAAAAATGAGGTGGGGAATTTTCCTGCAGACTTTTTTTGGATTTTCCCAGGATCTTTGGTCCACGGGATTTAAAATTATGAGTTTGGTGGTCCCTGAGGTCCAAAAGGTTGGTGACCCCTAATCTACACGGCTGAATTCCGTTGGCTCTGGTATGTAGTTGCCTAGCTACAAGGGGGTTGGGCTGTGTATTGTGTTTGAAGTTGATGTGTTCGTGTTTTCCCTCATAGCTTGCTTGAAACTATTTGCTTTCAGTTTGTTCTTAGTAAAAGTACTTTTCTCTAAATCTATGGAGCCAAGGATTTCTCTTTCCTATGAATTGAACAGAGACAGCCCTGACAGCCTTGAAGAGACAATAATTTGGGACATAAATTGTATTACATCTGAGTTACATAGCCTAAGGCAGTGGTTGCCAACCAGTGGGCCAGGGACCACTGGTGGTCCGTGAGAAAATTTTGGTGATCCGCAGAGAAATGTCACCCCCAAAGCACTCCCCCAAAGCAATTAATCCAGGATGCATGGGAACACAAGGCTATGCCACCCACATAACCGCGGGAACACTAGGCTTGCGTCACTTGCATTGCGAACAACACACGATAGTGGGGGGGGAAGGGTGGAAAGTTACCCTACTTACCCCACGTGCCTGGCCTGGCTACTGGGCTGCTTCTTTCTTCTTATGCTTTTGGCTGCATGCAAGGAAAGCAGCAAAAGTCTTTCTTTCTCTCCCCCAAACTCCACCAGAAATGAGTCTTCGGATCCTGCAGGCATCCTGCTCCAAGAGACTGCGCCAGCACGACAAGTCTCACGAAGATTCATTTTTGGCAGAGTTGTGGGAGAGAAAGAAAGATTTCTGCTGCTTCTGCTGCTTTCTTTGCATGAAGCCAAAAGTCTCCCCCCCTCCCCGCCCCACCCCGAGAACGGAGCTGGAGACGGTATCCTGCAATCCCAAATAAAGAATGATAGATTGGCAGAAAAATGGGGTGGGGAATTTTCTTACAGACTTTTTGGGGGATTTTTTCCCAGGATCTCTGATTCATGGGATTTAAAATTATGAGTTTGGTGGTCCATGAGGTCCAAAAGGTTGACAACCCCTGGCCTAAGGTGCCAGATCTGCATGTAACTCCAGAAAAGATCTCCAAAAATTATTGCCAAATTTTATCTTTTAAATATGACAGAAGATAAAAAAAAATGTTTAAATACAAGACTGGAAGATAAACATATTTAATTTTAGTTACATTAAATAAAATGCAGCTTACATCTGGGAGACACGTGTTTATTTTTAGGAGTACGCACCACTTCACAACCAAGTGCATCATCTGATATGGAAAAAATTGAGCATCCCTACTTTATGCAATGAATAGAGCATAAATCTTGAACCCAATCTTTCATTTTCTGCAAAAGCATCTTTGAAGCCATTGAAATTTCATTAGGCTTTAGAAACAGAGCAAGCTGCCTTAAGAGTGTGTCAGAATGTTTGCTCATCTAGCCAGTTCTGTAAATTTGCCAACCTTTTCCTTAATGGTGTGTTTATTTTTCCAAAACAGTCATTTTGAAATTTGCCATAAAGTTATCTTTGGAAAGTTGAAATGCTTCAAAAATATGTTCTTTTTTGTGTCCATTAATTATTTTGCACGAAGCTTGTTTCATATATCCTTAAGAATAAAGGGGCCCTTCTGGCTGATAATGGCATGTATCACATTAATGGAAGAACACATGAATACAGTTCTAATCTTGCATGTGTACTTGTTGTATTAATGATAGTACAGCTGGTGTCATGGGGCAATAGACAGGTGGGTTTGTTACAGATTTCTGAACTCATATCAAAAGATTTCAGCAATTTCAGAAATCTTCAACAAAGTCTTTTAACAGATTTCATTTGTTAATTGATAAGGTACTTGCACTACTTGTAATCTGCCTCACTTATATACATCATCTGCAGAATCATCCTGTCTCCTCCTTTTCCACGACCCTAATTTGAATCCTGCATTAGTCTAACCCGATTAAGTGAACTATAGGTCACAAATCCATACACCCTTTAATGTAATTTGTTAGTTGGAAAAAATTGCCCCAAACTCCTTCTCATTTACACAAATCTTTTAATTTCAGTCATTTTAGCAAGCCGTCACTTATCTGAGTCCTAGTTTCTGCCTCGTGGTTAAGTATGCTGCAGAATGCTGTAATGTTTATATACTATGCAATTCAATTGGTTCAAAGTCTGGTCCTTCACTTCTTCAAAAAGTGTGCCTATAACAGAAGCCTAAGACTCAGTTCACACATTGTGCTAACTGTGGAGTCAGTCCTTGGTGTGTCCTACACTTAGTTGTTTTCTTGCAAATGTTTCATTGCCAAACTAGGTAACATCAGTACTAGTAAGTGAATCAAGTTTGCTCTCATTTTATGCCCTGTTAGTGTTGGTGGGAATGACTGCGTATTTCCTAATTGGGCTGTTTACTGTTAGTTTGCTAATCTGACTGGGTTAGTTTTTTGATTAGAAACTACCAACTAGTGTTAATCTTGGCCTTAATCATCCAGGTGTTGATTGCTAGTAAAGGTGGTATTTAGGCCTTTTTGGTTTTGGCAGTCTCTTTTAAATAGGTATGTGGACATTGTCTCTATGTGCCCTATTGATGACCGATTTGTCTAAGTTTATGGTATCCAGGAATGTTCTAGTTCTTTGTGACTTGGCTTGGTCTAGAATGTTTTCCAGTTGAAAATATGGTTGCCTTCCTTCATGAACATCATCTAGCAGTCAGAAGAAGTGAGGGCATTTCCTTAATTTCACAACCCATGGACAGATTTAACAACGGTTTCAATTCCAAAATTTCCTAGACCTAGACCAAACCAAGCCCCCAAACACTAAAGAATTCTTAGAAGCCTGGCACTCAGACAAATCCCTCCTCAATGGGCACATAGAAATAAACAACATCTACTACCATTCAAAAGAGGCGATCAAAAAGCCCCCAAAAGGAAAAATACCTAAAAACTTCTCCTTACCTCACCTCCTCCATACCCAGATAAGCAGAGATTAACACCAAGATTAATCAACAAGATCACTCCCACTAATAGGGTAAGCCACAAGCATATAAAATGAGAGCAAATCTGATTTCCTTACTAGTACAGATGATGTTACTTAGTTTGGGAAATGCAAGAAAACAACCTGGTTGAAAGAGCACCAAGGATTCCACAGTTTAAACCAGGTTACAAATATTCTCGAATAGAATAACAGAGTTGGAAGGGACCTTGGGGGTCTTCTAGTCCAACCCCCTGCCTAGGCAGGAAACCCTATACCACTTCAGACAAATGGTTATCCAATCTCTTCTTAAAAACTTCCAGTGTTGCAGCATTTACAACTTTACAACAACTAGAGGCCATTGATTAATGGTACTAACTGTCAGGAAATTTCTTCTTAGTTCTAGGTTGCTTCTCTCCTTGATTTGTTTCCACCCATTACTTCTTGTCCTGCCCTCAGGTGCTTTGGAGAATAGCTTTACTCCTTCTTCTTTGGGGCAGCCCCTGAGATATTGGAAGTCTGCTATCCTGTCCCTACTAGTCCTTCTTTTCCTTAGACTATCTTCTATTACTGTGCTACTTTATTTTGAAACCACGACTTGTTGGGTGTGTGTAAACCAAACCCATAGATCAAAAAAAAAAAACAGCCTTAGGGAAGAAAGTAAGGGTTTCTCTTTCGCTCATTACACATGCCAAACTAAGGGAGGGGCAGGGCAGGGCTCTCCAACCTTAGCAACTTTAAGCTTGGGGTACTTAACTCCCAGAATTCCTCAGCCAGTTTTGCTGGCTGGGGAATTCTGAGAGTTGAAGCTCCCCAAGTGTACAGTTGCCAAGGTTGGAGAGCCCTGCTTTAGGAGAAGGAAATCTCTCCTTTGCCGGAAGGGTCCCTGACCAAAGCCCTCCGCCCCGTCGAACCCGCTGCCCGCCCACCCCTCGTCCCGTTAGTTACCCTTCTTCTGGGTAACGATGGCCACGATGGGCATACTGGGCCGGTCGCTGAAGATTTCGGCCTGATTGACCAGCGCATCCCGGACCGCCTCGAAGTCGCTCAGTACGATGACATGGCGGTTGCCCAATGCCATTCGGAAAATGCTGCCGTACATTTTCGCCAGCTCAGTCAGCACCACATGCATCGGCGACGGCCCTCCCCACTCCTCGCCGGCTCGCTCGCCGTCGTTCCCTTCCTTCTTGTGGGACGGGAAGACCTGCAATTTTTTGGGCAACAGGGCGAAGGCGAAGTTGCCCAACAGGGGCCAAGCCTTGGGGCCAGGCGGAAGGCGCTGCTGCAGAGCCCGGCGGCCCAAGAGCCACCACAACGCCAGCAGCAGCCCGGCGGCTCCGAGCATCGCCGCTTTAACAGTCTCTGGGGCTAGAGAAGCAGAAGGCAGCGGCTCCCCCGCGCCGGCGACCGCCTTGGCCATCCCGCCTGAGGCAAAGGCCGAACCCAGCAGCAGCAGCAGCAGCAGGTCCAGCGCGGCGCCAACGGGCAACCTGTTATAGGGGGCGTCCGCCGATGTGCCTTTGCTTTCCCGACCGCTGGCAGTACCTCCTCCTTCGATTGGCTGGCTGCGGGGGAAGGAAGGAAACTCCTCCCCCGAGCCGGTGACGTCTGAGGGGAGCATATTTTCTGCTTTGAGCCGCCGGAGGTGGAACGCGTTCTCGGCTGGCGCGCTGCGCGGAGGCCGCTGAACGGCGGTTCTTAAAAGGCCGTGCCATCAGGGCCGCCGAGAGGATTATTAAGTGCTGAGGAAGAAGACTAATTATAGTTACAACCAGGGTGTATACTATGATGTATGTTTCAAAAGGACTTGATATATCCGGTATAGACTGCCGTTGCAAAATGGGAAATGTGAATAACGAAAAATGTATAATATTTTTTTTTTAAAAAAAGAAGACTAATATGGGCCCCCTCACCTACACATCGGCGCATAAATCAATAATGTCATAATGGTACATTGATGAATGACTTTCAAACATAGTTGCAAATAGATTAAAAAGAGGTGCAATGCAGCGGCAGCACTACGCGCTGGTAGTGGCCTGCGGAGATCAAGCAGGTCTGCGAAATGGGGAGGGGGGGGGTTGGATGGGGAGAAAAGCATTGAAGTGAGATGGAGCAATATATATATGTATATGCTAATATTTACGTGGTGATTTATATATTTTATAGCTAGATTCAAAGTCTGTTTGCCCAACACTGTAAACAATGCAGTTACCATAGCACCTTATGCAAACCAGCCCGTTTTTGGCTCAATGTAGTAGACAAACACGGAAATGGAGTTATATAAAATCTGAGTACATAAACTCGGGTAAAAATGTGAGTATAGCCACACCCTAATTAGATCCTTGTTCACTATAAATATTACAGAAGAATCTTAAATGTTCAGGCCCAGCTAATACCTTCCACATTTTGGCTTTACCTATCCAGTTAAAGGTTTTTGTGTGGCCAATAAAGGAATAATAAACTTCTTTCTTAAATTCTCTGGCTGCCTTTTAGTTAACCTAGGTTAGTAAAACGTTAAATAGTAGATTTTTAGAAGGATATGTCTACTGCATCACTATTAAGTGCAGTGATGATTGTTATCCATATGCAGACAGAATAATTTTATGGAAGCCAAGCAAAGGTTTTGCAAAGGAAATGTGTGCAATGCATTTATTCATTATTAACTACAATGATTGCTAATTAACATTCTTTTTAGGAATCAACCACAGACTGAACCATTAGCAAATTGGTTTTGCCCAACAGCCCAAGCTAAATGTGTGTGTTAGGACTTGTGAGGTAATCAAGACAAGAACAACAATCAAGAATACTAGCCCTATATTGTAAGGTTTCCGTAACAGAATCATGCATGTGTCGAAGTACTTCTCCCACCCCTCACTTTTATTCCTCCCAAATCCTGGGACTCTTCTGATGGCTTCTGCCATCCCTTCTCCTTCAGACTCAAATATGGTTTATTTTTAAAAAATGGTGCCGCACTCAGTTGCTGCAGCTTTTCACTCTCTGGTTTGGTGTGTGTGTTTGGTGATATATGTGTCTGAGTCTTGTTGCATAGAGGAGGTTTACAGCCAACAAGAACTAATATGCTGTGGACTACAGTCTGCTAGAGCAATTATTGTGTTGATTTTCAGAGGACTCACAGTATTCCCGAGGAGATAGCAAGACCACCAGGACCTCCATGAATTGTAATGGGATCATTTAAACGGTGCAGGCAGTGTAGAGAGAGAAGGAGGAGGAGGGGCTGCAGAGCAGGAGTTTTAACTCGCTTAAAAAGACAGCCACACAAACCATCTTTGCTAAGTATCTTTCTCTCAAATGCTCGGTCACTCCTCAATAAAATGGATGAGATTAATCTGATGGCAGCAAGCAATCACATGATAAAGGACTGCTGTGTGATAGTTATTACAGAGAGCTGGCTTCACTCAGCTATTCCTGATGCCTCACTACAACTGGCATGTCGTACTATCCACCAACAAGACCATAATAAGGACTGGTAAGACTAAAGGAGGTGGACTTTGTTTATAAGTTCATGATAACTGGTGCACCAACAGCCCTGTTATAAACAGATACTGCTCTCCTGATTTAGAGGTGATGACAGTCATGTGCAGACCCTGCTATCTACCTAGAGAACTGACAGTGGTGATTTTTACAGCTGTTTACATACCTCCTGATGCAAATATTAGTACTGCACTTGCATATTTGCATACTATAATAAACAAACAACTTAAGGTTTATCCTGATGGGGCTCATATAATAACTGGTGATTTTAATAAGGCATGCTTAAAGATTGTATTTCCCGAATTTATTCAGTGAGTGACATGTGCCACCAGGGGAAACATCACACTTGATCATGTGTATTCTAATGTAAAGCATGCATATAAAGCAGTGTCCCTTCCACATCTGGGACTTTCAGCTCATTTATCACTGTTCCTTATACCAGCATACACCGCCCCCCCTCAGAAGGAAAACTAAGCCTGAAATCAAACTCATCAAGATCTGGCTGGAGGGAGCACTTGATCAGCTGCAGGATTGTTTCTCAAATACTAATTGGAATTTATTTGAACAAGAGGATTTGGAGGAATATACAAAAACTGTACTGTTTTACATCTTGGCCTGTGTGGATACGGTTACTGTGAATAAGCGCATATAGATTTTTCCAAACCAGATTCCCTGGATGAACAAGGACGTGCAATTACTTCTCAAGACACGTGATATGGCATTCAGGTCTGAGGACAGGGTTTGGTATAACAAGGCAAGAGCGGAACTGAGGCAGGGCATCAAGGAGGCAAAAAAGGACTATAAAAGGAAGATTGAGGACTACTTCACAAATAATGATCCACGATGGGCTTGGCAGGGAATTAAACACATCACTAATTACAGGGGCAGCAACCCCATATCGATCAATAAGGACGCCTCACTGGCAGAAGAATTAAACTGCTTCTTTGCCCGATTCGAACTGAATAGGTCTTCGAACACACTGCCTCTACAAACCACCAGTACTCAACTGTTCACAGTACAAGAGAATGATGTGAAGCAGGTGCTTAGAGCAGTGAATGTAAAGAAGGCCGCTGGCCCTGATGGGGTACCTGGGAAGGTACTCAAAGCATGTGCTGACCAGCTCGCAGGTGTGTTTACAAATATTTTTAACTTTTCTCTTACACAAGCCATTGTTCCATCTTGTCTCAAAACTTCCATTATTATTCCAGTTCCCCAAAAGCCCTCTCCTGATACTTTAAATGACTATAGACCAGTAGCTCTCACACCCATAATTATGAAGTGTTTTGAAAGACTGGTCTTAAAATATATACAGGATTGCCTCCCATCGACCCTTCACCCATACCAGTTTGCCTATTGGAATAACAGTTCCACAGAGGATGCTATTGCCATGGCTCTCCACGTTGCACTGGACCATCTGGAGCATAGTGGGAGCTATGTAAGGATGCTTTTCTTGATTACAGCTCAGCTTTTAATACCATCATTCCGGATATACTGATTAAGAAGTTGCTAGAAATGGGCCTCTCCTCTCACATCTGCTGTTGGATAAGGGACTTTCTTACTAAGATATTCCAAACTGTTAGAATTGGCAGCTATTTTTCCTCCACTCTTGCTCTCAGCACTGGCTCTCCACAGGGTTGTGTGCTGAGCCCCCTTTTGTATTCACTCTACACCTACGACTGCACTCCCTCTTGTCCCACTAACTCTATAATAAAATTTGCAGATGACACCATGTGGGACTCATATCAGAAGATGATGAAACAGCCTATAGGTCAGAGGTTCTCAGACTGGTCTTGTGGTGCAAGAGTCATAACCTCGCCCTGAACATCAAAAAGACCAAAGAATTGATTATAGACTTCAGACGTTGCGAAGCAGAGCCTCTCCCACTATATATCAATGGATATTGTATGGAAAGTGTTCATAGTTTTAAATTTCTAGGAACTCATATTTCTGACAACCTTACTTGGTCAGTCCACACGATGGCCACTGCAAAGAAGGCCCAACAGCGTCTGCACGTTCTGAGGCTGCTGAAGAAGAGTGGTCTGGGTAAGAAGAGGCTGGTTACTTTTTACCGTTCTACCATTGAGAGCATTTTGGCATACTGTGTAACGGTGTGGTATGCTGGATGCTCTTTAGTGGATAAGAAGATGCTCCAGAGAGTTATAAACACAGCACAAAAAAATCATCAGTTGCTCTCTTTGGATGAGATTGTGAAGACCAGACTCCTTTCTAGAGCACTAAAAATCTCTACAGACCATTCTCGTTCTGGACATTCATATTTTGAACTGTTACCATCAGGGAGGCGTTATAGGTGTCTTAAAATAAGGACTAATAGACTGGGAAACAGTTTCTTTTCCAAGGCAATAATTGTCTTGATTCAAACAATGCATATGTGATTTAGCCCTATGTATATAGTGGCATTTTAAAACTCTAACCTACTATATGTTTTAGATAGGTTATAGACTAGGTTTTTAATTATTATTTAATTATTTTAATTTTTAAATACTCTGTAGTGTGATTGTGATCTGGTGTTTGGGATACTGTGCTGGAGTAGCTTTCAAATTTTATTGTATTTGTAGAATGCAATGACAATAAAGGTATTCTATTCTATTCTAAACTGTTGTTTAGGCTGAAGCTCTTTCTTGTGTCTCCCACATATTACAGTCTCTTATCAGACAATGAATCAAAAATTGGGTGCTTGTATTTTAGCCCAATGGCAGAAGCATACAATCTGAAGGCTATAGAAAGTTTTGCAAAATATGTGAAGGGCTGCATTCTAGGAGTACGTGAATGGAATCTGAACTGGTTCTGAGTTTGAACAATTATTTATTGCCCAAGCTTTTGCAAGGCTTAAAGCACCAAATAAGTCCCTATTGAAGCAAAGCCAAACCTTTCAGCTAGTTGAAAATCCTGCTATCCATTTAGAAGGAGTTTTGGGTGCCACAGAAGATATACTGATCGAGAATATATATCCCTGAGTGTACAGGTTACAGCTCCCCACCCCACCTAGCCTAA